AATTGTTGCCAATGTAGCCCTACTCCCACAAAGGCCACTGATATTAATTGGTTCTCCCCCAGATGGTACAGAGGCCACCATCCACCCAAGAACCAGTCCATGCACCCTGGCTCCGTTTTGTGATTTATTGCTGATAAAGCTTGTGACAGGAGAGTGCTTGAGGACATGAGATACTCCAAACAATTACAAATTGGCTGTGAGAGGACGATCTTTTCCCCTATACAGCTGAGAATAATGGAAAAAAATAGTCTTACATCTGGGGACCATGAGACAAATCTCTTTGGCATCTGGTTACCCTGCATCACTGTACTTCTATTGGCACCCGATGCAATCTCCGTAACACTGCACAGTATAGGAGGGCACTCTTCTCTAAGCTCACAGTCCAGGACACTGATGAGGATGGCCAGTATCTGTGACCCTACGAGAGCTGTCTCAGTCCAAGCTACCTCTGGCACTTATATCCCAAAAGAACCCAGTCACCAGGAATCAAATCATTGTCAGTTGCCACCTTCCAGCTTCCTTAGACACAACCCAATGAGTGAGACCATCCTCCTGTAGACCAGATCCCTTTGATGATGTCCTGCAGTTAGTCCCAGATCACTTCCAGGTCCCAGCTCTGCCACCACTGAGACTGCACAGAAAAGCAACACAGGCTGCCTCAGGGGCAATAGCCCCCGGAGGCTTGGAACTCTCCTTACTGGGGAAGGACCCTCTCTCCAGGGCTCTAGACTATTTAACAGCTTCATAGCCACCATCTGGGCACACCTCCTCAGGGATTGGCTAGGCCCTGATCAATGTTCAGCCAGGTTATTTGAATTCCAATTCCCTGAGTACTAAAATTTTCTTTCAGAGGCAGGGAGAAGCTCAAACTCCCAGTCTCTGAAACCCTGAACAGACTAGACCAGACCAAACAATCTCTGCTCCCCCGATTGCAGAAGGAGCCAAAAACTAAATATACTTAGCAGCCTAACTAGGAAGGTGCTACACTAAATTAATGGGAGACAGGAAATAAGGGGAAATCTCTCCACTGAGGACACAAACAATAACAAAAGACCTAAAGGTGGATCTAACTCTTCACAACTCTATGTAAAACTAAAAAAAATGTCTTGAGTTTGAATTATAGAGGTAATACCTAAACAACAACAAAAATTACAATTGTTATCTTTCTGAATTGTATGAATAGTATGAGCTTTTGCAAAGTTTCACACCCAATGTACTGGGACTGCTCTGGGCAACCTTGCCAAGCATAGTTCCAATGCAAGACAAGGCAAAAAGCCATGTTCCCTATAATGCCAGTTCACACCACACTGTTGCAGTGGTTGTGCTGAAAAAAAAGTGCAGCATGCTTTTTTCAGTGCAATGTGGTGTAAGGCTAAGTTCACATTTGTGGATTCTTCATGCTGCATTTGTGTGGGCAAGCACTCCATTAATTTATTGGGCTGCTGTACTTGCAGGATAAAGGTCCCTGCACCTTTTTAAAATCCCAGCCGCAGTGAAATCGCATGGTGCTTTTGAACTGTGCAATTTCTTGCACTTGATTACATGCTCACTGCATTTTCAGATGCATGGGGGTACTATTAAGAAATAATGGCACACTCACGTGTCTGCTAAATAGTACCATGTTTTGCCTGCAGGTTTGGGAATGTGTGCAATATACATACTTTCCCGCACCTGCATATGTGTGAATCTACCCTAGTGCAATTCACCACACTACACACTGCTTTGGCCACTAGAACTCACTTCTTGTCACTTTGAGGTCGATTTATTAAAACTGGGAAGTGCAAAATCCGGAGCTGCTGTGCACGGTAGCCAATCAGCTTCCAACTTCAGGTTGCTTAATTATCTGATTGGTTTCTCTGCAGAACTGCACCAGATTTTGCACTCTTCAGCTTTAGTAAATCAACGACTTTGTGACATTTCAAATAATGTTTACACAAAAAAGGATGCACAATGGGCTATGCTTTCAGCATGGCTGCTGACGTGAGCAAGATGGTCTAAAACAATCATGTAATGTCTGTATGTCTCAAACTGCTGTAATAAGTTATTTAGGGTCTAAGCATATGTCCTAAAAATATATGTATACATTTTACATTTTGTATGCATTTATAGCTGAAGCAACAGTATGGCCTAACTCCACAGCTGCTTAAAAAAAAAAGAAAAAAGCAGAATGCAATAAAATGAATGAATGAATTAAAAAAAAAAAACACACAGAGGTGAGCCCAGTCTAGTGACCCATCAAAGTTATGTGGACAGCATCTGGCCCAATTGTAGAATTCTCTCTGTGGCATTAAACACGAAGGCACAACGCAGCCTGCATTTTATGAATGGCTTGTAAAATTCAGACTCCGGTGTGAAGTTACCTTGCAGTGTTCACTATAAATACCTCTCTTTGCTGTACTTCCAGCTTATGAAAAGGATTGATAGAACCTTCACTGGGCTCTGTGTATGCATTGCATATGTGTGTAATATATATATATTCACCGGCCAATTTATTAGGGACACCTGTTCAATTGCTTGGTAACACAAATTGCCAATCAGCCAATCACATGGCAGCAACTCAATGCATTTAGACATGTAGACGTGGTGAAGTTCAAACTGAGCGCCAGAATGGGGAAGAAAGGGGATTTAATTGATTTTGAATGTGGCATGGTTGTTGGTACCAGATGGGCTGGCTTGAGGGTTTCAAAAGCTGCTGATCTATTGAGATTTTCCTGCTCAACCATCTCTAGGGTTTACAGAGAATGGTCTGAAAAAGAGAAAATATCAAGTGAGTGGCATTTGTGTGGATGAAAATGCCTTGTTGATATCAGAGGTCAGAGGAGAATGGGCAGACTGGTTGCGACATTCAGATGGTTAGGTCAGAATTTGGCGTAAACAACATGAAAGCATGGATCCATCCTGCCTTGTATCACCGGTTCAGGCTGGTGGTGTAATGGTGTGGGGGATATTTTCTTGGCACTAGCAAGGTCCGCCTAATAAAGTGGCCAGTGAGTGTATGTAATATAATATATATATATATATATATATATATATATATATATATATATATATATATATATATATATATATATACACACACACACACACACAGAGGGAGGGATCTGATAATTAAGTGTTCTTGCATGGCAAGACCACTTACTGTTATCTCACATATATATTCTTATTATTATAGCCAAATTTACCCCCCTAACTCCTCCCACAGTTTTACTCTACATAGACAGTAATATACCGAAACGTGCGGATTGTTCCCGATTGGTGTGCTATTACTTTGTGGAACGTTTCGCCAAATGGTTCACAAAATATCGGCGTTTTGGTGTTGAAATTGGTCCCATAGGAATGAATGGCGGAATGTTCAAAACTAGAGTGGGAGCTGACAAAAGCTAGAGTGTAAGCAGAAAAATCAGAACATGATTTCTAAACTGCCATCACTCCCTCATTTTCAAGCCCACCTACACAAATCTTATATCAAAACGTTCAGCTATCCCTGCTGCCACTAAAAATGTCCACGGCTAAGCCATAGTCCTGATAGTTTTCACAAAATGACCATTTGTTTGCAACTCACGCCGCCCGTTGACATTCATTGAAACTCCACTCTAGCCACCTCAAATTTGAAGGGCAATTTCTAAACTGCGACTGTGCCTTCATTTTTAATATTTCAGAGACATACTATGCATCAAAATGTAGGTCTGGGTCTTGTGATTCTCACAATGTAAAGCTTTTCGATGTAGGATTTATAATTTTTAAATGACAACCATTTGAAGATGGCAAGTGCCAGTGAAGTGAGCAAGTTGGAGCAGTTTGTTTTTAACCACTCTTCTCTGCCCTTGCTGTAGAGTGAGTTGCCATAGGAACCCAGGTGTGTGAGCAGGTAAGAACACTTCGCACAAATTCCCCATAAATTGTAGCTTTTCTAGTTCCAGAATACATTGCTTTTAAAGTGTCCCTAAACCCACATCATAAAAACTATCAGTAACTGCTGTGTTACATGCTGTTCAAACTCACTCAGTTACTGTGGGATTCAGTGTCTATATTCTGCAAAAAAAAAAACTGGTTGATCCTGCTGTTCTCTGTTTCCCTCTTCTGTCCATCCTCCTAATGCATTTAGGGATTTTGCAGAGCAGTGTTGGCAACTACTTCATATGCTCAGTTTTCAGTGTATTTCTACCCTGAGCATTTCCTCCTTTTCACATCTGAGAAGCCCATGTGACTTTAGACATGTTGGTGTACACACAATGGTAAATGACAGCCCACTCCCTCCCTCCCTCCTCCATGCCCACTAACCAGCTAAGCACAATGGGAAGTGGAATATTACATCTTGATTGATGAAGGCTTCACTTCCCTGTTATTCTAAGACACAGGCTGGAGGGGAGTTACACAGCCAATGACTTGCACAAAGCTGCCCATATCATGTTATTGCCAAAAAATAATAAAGATTTTATTTATATTTTATTTATTTTTTTATTTCACATATATATTTGTATGACAACTGAAAAATAAGTTTATTGATATTAGTTATTTATATTTAGTTTTGTATCCCAAAGGCTGTTTTTTTTTTTTTTTTTTTTTTTTGAACATGTGACTAACGGCAAAGGACTAGAAGCTCCTGATGCCACTATTTCCCTACAGACAGGCTGGGAAAAAGCTGGGTCAAATGACGGCTGTATATCATATAGGAAAAAGGAAAGTAGTTATTTTTTTCAATTATTATTATTAAAATAATTACCGTGCCATCATCAATATACAGAAAGAGAAGAGATCATGTAAATTAAATAGTGGATGTTTAGTATCACTTTAAGGCTTTTTATTCTGGCTCCAGATGACATCCCTGGTTTACTTTTCTTTATGTTTTGTACATGGTTCTCATGGGTATTGTTTTCCTATTGCTTATAAAAACTATATGGAGGTCCACCTATTAGAATAGTATCCCAGATTATTATATTGATTTGATGACTGATTCACTTTAAATATGGCATTCTGCCACTATTTACATTGGCCTGTACCTATTTTTCTGGCTTCTTCCAGTTGGTCAAACGTAGCAAGCTGTCCGCCTTCATATTCACACACAGCTCTGGCCTCTCTGTAGGTCAGTTGGTATTTTCCGCTCCGTGATTCTCGGTGATAAACTCCAGCTGCTTGTTCTGTAAGAAATAACAATTAAGATTTAGTTTCTTTTCTTTTTTAGCAACATCCCTTCAAAGCCATTATCCCACCTCCAGCATTGCGTATCACATTGAGAACAGTAGTATATCTGTGCCAGAAGCAGACAGCGGAGTGGTTCCTCAGACGGGGACCTGGACAGAAGCCCAGAAGTAGAACAAAGCTTTTTTTTATGAAAATACTCGTTTTGTTACAGTATGTCTTCCACATTTCAGTTTCAGGCAATAATACCTCCTGCAAAGTTGTTTAAAAGTAAACAGGTTTGTTTGTTGGTTCCTGAACATTCTAATCTGTAACAAAATGTATCTTTCAGAACATAACCTGGGAATGTCTCCAGGAATTATAGTGATATGATTTATATGAAACATTTATGCTGGGATAGGATTTTTTATTTGGTTAGTCTTGTAGAGCAGTGTTTGTTTAGTACTGCCAAGATGTTTTTACATCAACAGGATTGGAATAATTTAGCTGCTTAGGTCATCAAAAATATTAGCAACCCCACCCCACCCCCCCCTTTTTCTCTCTTTTTTCTGGGGTGTATTTTTAAAATCTGCATGTTAGCTAGTCTAGCAAATCTGTATGTTGTTCTGTGCGCATAGGGGGCAAAATTGAATGTTCATAGGGCTATGTTCTCTGCAATTCAAATGTGTGACTGCTGGAAATAGCACATTATGGCCACTAGATGGCGATGAGGAGCATATTGCTTTCCTATGATGGCTCTAATGCAAGGTGGCCACTAGATGGCGATGACTATCCTATGAATTTAAGTATGCTCCTTAGCACCATCTAATGGCTATAATGTGGTATTTTCCACCTTCACACATTCGAATTGCCAGAAAATATATCCTGAGAAATTCTGATTTTGTCCTAATTGGACAGGATAAATTTACATGCAGTTTTGATGCAAAGCTATGTAAAATTTCTTATAAATACTCTGTCTTCTCAAGTTCTATTTCACCCTTCACTCCACACCTTTCTTCCATTGCCAACTTTTTCCCATACACTTCCTCTCTACTAGCCATCTCACTATTCCACTGCTCCCCACTCCACTCTTCTACTCTTTCTCCTCTTTCTTGCCTGTTCTCCTTTTTTCCTATCTCTTGGCTCACACTCTATGATTCCCTCAATTGTTTTCCTGCCTCTCACCTAAGATTCTCTGTCTCTTTTGCTTTCTTTCACCCTCTATCCCTTTCTTTCTCCTTCTGACTCTAAAACATCTCTATCGCTTCCTTGTACTCTCCTTCCATCCCTTATTTTTGCTCCTTATTGCTCTTTCTCCTGTCTCTCTTTTCCTATCTAACTTGCTTTCACACTTTCTTTTCTTCCCCAATTCACTCTTTGTTTTCTTTTGGTAGGTGAAAATGGATGGCTTAAGATCACTCAAATGCCTTCTACCCATGGACATTCTCAGTGCAGCTTCAGCTGGAATAGTACTTCCATCTGCGGCTTTTAGGATTCATTAAACTCTAAAAGTATTTGTTGTGGTGGACATCTGCACTTAGATGTTTTACCGAGGGCAGAAAGAGGTGACCAAAGAGAACACAATGCTTTCCACTGAACTCAGCAAAATGCTTAAGAACAGTGTATCCTATGGGAATGCTTTTCTAGCTCTGGTTCAGGCCGTCATCACCACAACCTGTAGTGCCAGAGCGTGGGAGGTCTTAAGCCTTTCTATGAGCACAGCCTCTCCTTCTCTACCATTTCTTTCTCTCTCTTGGTTGTGCCAGCAGCATGGAGATGTGCAAAGTACAGCAATAAAAACAGTTTTTTATAAGTGATCTGGATGCTGTAAGATGAATTCCTATGGATTACTGACTGTATTTTTTATGTTTGTGTTTTAGGTCAGTAAACATAAGAAAGGGTCCAACATAGGAGGAGAAACTCTGCAGGTCAGCTCTTAGCAGTCTTCATCTAAGGAAAAGGAACATACTTTCAAGGACAGTGAAGTGCACATTTTGGACAGAGGACAGCATTTTCATAGAAGGTATTTAAGGTCCCATTCATTTCAAACTGGTACAACCATCGCTAAACAGGGGTGCGGCCTTCAAAACCATCTGTCATCCACATTTACCCTAGCCTAGGTTCACACCTAAGCATGTTCTGCAACATTTTGTGTTTTGCAGAAACGCACCACAGTCCATTTAACATGATTTTCTATGGGACATGTTCACATCTGTGCATTTTCACCAGGTGCGTTTTTTGTAAAGGGTCAGGAACTATTTTAAACACAAAAAGTTGCGTTTTTGGTTCTATAGACTTCAATGGAAATGCTGTAGAAGAGCATGTAGTGTGTTTTTGATGCGTTTTTAATGCATGTTGCATTTTAATCTGCCTAGCAACAAGAAAAAAAAATAAAAAGCAAAATGCATCAAAAAACATGGCAAAAGCGCATGTGCAAAAATGCAAAATAAACAACAAAAAGCACTGCAGAAACGGATCAAACGCAAACTGCATAGGTGTGAACCAAGCCTTAATGCTGTATAAAGGATAAGTTCACCTTTGGTAACATGTTACCTGTTCCACCTGATTTTAGGTTGGAACATGTAACATGTTCCCATAGCTGCATCCGTCTCCGCCGCACACCCCCATTTTCTGACAGATAGTACGGCAAGACGTTTCCACCAAACTGTCAGTGCAGCCGCGTGGGGCTCCACCCACACAGCTGCATCATTCATTCATGGGCTTCTGTGAATTAATGAAATGCAAGTCCCAACAGCCTTAGCGGCTGTGGGCTTGTAGTTTTCAATGAACTACCACGGCACTGTGGAGTGCCGTGGTAGTTAATTGAAGCTTCCTGTCAGTATTTCTGCTTGCCCGTACATCCCATACGGCGAGCAGATATTCTGTCAGGTCTGCAGGAGACCTGCATGGCATCAGTGATCTACTGATCGCTGGTACAATGCTTTCCAGGCTCCTTTGGACAACAATAATAAATGCACATTTTTTTACCTGCAAAAAATGTGCATTTAATATTTTGTCCAAAAGGTGAACTTATCCTTTAACATCTCTGCCCAAGTCATTTGAAATCAGTTAATACCTTCAACCATTTAAATCAAATCAATAACACCTGTTCTAGAATCTGTCATACCATTGATTAATGTAATTATTATTATTATTATCATACAGGATTTATATAGCGCCAACAGTTTGCACAGCACTTTACAAAATGAAGGTAGACATTACAGGTACAATGTAATTTGGTACAAGAGGAAACAGAGGGCCCTGCTCTTTAGAGCTTACAATCTAGGAATTAGAACATGGTGCTTCACAAACTTCCACACCTCCCATAATATTCTTGGATAATCAGCATCTACCTTGACATTAAGTAGAACTAAAGAAGCTGCTTGGATGAGCAGAAAAAACATCTTCAAGATAACAGAACATGTTCCGTTGAATGAAACTAACTTCTCCTAGCTCACAATAAGAAAGAAAAAGAATCTATCTATCTATCTATCTTACACACAGGGCATAACATATATATCCTTTGACAAAGTCGTAATGATGAAATGTGTCAGAAAGTGACGTCAGATGCTCACCGGAAGTCCAGCAGTGGCCATCTTGGTTGAGGTCCGAGCTAGGAACTGCATGATAATGCTGATGTACATCATTCTATTTGTAAGCGCTTTTTACATTTAATAAATTAATTTGTCTGGTTTGATACACTATGATTGCCTACTTTGCTTTGATTATATGTACCAACATGGAAATGGAGTATTGGCAAGAGTGATAGTGTTCAAAATCTTTGCATTGATTGTTTATATTCCAGGCTATAACTTGTAGAAATTTGGTAAGGTGCATGAGCCGTGAGTTGGTGGGTCACCTTAGTGTTGTGCATGGATTTGTGGTCAATGGTTCAGGCTAAGGGTGCACAGAGTGTCACTATTTGATATTTATTCATTAAATACTACACTATATGAATTTTGTATTTTTGGAGAGTCATTTATCACATAAGAAAAGGAAACATCTAAGGAAGAATTAACAAGATTGATCTCCCTTTATAGTGCAAAGAATTTTGGATAGGAGGGTAAGAGTAGGAATTACGGATTAAGTATGGTGGCACTTGGTGAAGTTTTGACACTATTTGAGCACTTTTATGTGAGTTTAACTCAATTTTGATTTATGACATGTGAAAGAGATAATGCACTGTGTGCGGTTTATTTAATTTTTTTTGAGGGGTAATATTTTGAAAAAGAGGAAGAGGACCACATCATCTTGGCGATATAGGAACTGAGCACGTAGATATCCATGGTGATAATGCTGGAAGAATAAGAATTTACCATATGAATTTACAGAATGAGGACTTTTTGATTAAATTTGGACACTGAGCAACAGTTTATTTCTTGACTTCCTAGGGAGGAAGTAATACCTTAGCGACCGGTAATTCTGTCGTGTGGATGTGTCTATTGATTTTTATACAAGTGACTTTTACCAAACATTCACTGGTGGTGAATCAAGTACTGTCTCCTGGAAAAGTCACCTGCAGTGAATTTTGGTAAATGTCAGAATCACTGCTTTATAAATATGGCATTTTTTAAAATGGCATTTTTTAAAACTAATTTATAGTGCTGAAAGCCCTGCATTAAGAACTTGTGACCTGAAAACCAATGTACTGAATGGTATAATTTTAATGGCAACATGCACTTTTTTAATGTCATTTAGTATAAACATGAATGTACAAATCAAGAAATAAATATTTCACTGGGTATAATAATTGAAAATCGTGCTTGGAAGGGTAAAAGAAATACTCAAGCCAATTATGTGTATATTGAAAATGGCTTTGGAATGATGTGAACATCCCGACTAATAAAATGATATTAAACACATGTGGGATGTTAGAGCCAGTGAGATAAAATATTAGGAAACAACTGGCTCTCGGGAATTGTGAGCTCCTAAAACCTCCACTGAGTTCTATGAAAAACAACTTCATAATGTGGTGACAAATCTGGCAATGCTTATACTGTGAATTCTGCTTTCACAGTCC